CCACCTCTCTGTCCAGGGTGGACCCCTCCTCTCTGTCCAGGGTGGACCCCGCCTCTCTGTCCAGGGTGGACCCTGCCTCTCACCCGTAGACAGCTGGAGATGGACACCACCACCCCTCGCCACCCCAACTTGGATAAAGCATGACAGAAAATTGATGGATATTTAAAGTATTTCTGTAATTTGATTTGAGAATAAGGAAAGGGCATAGAATAATAAAGCTGTCCAAGAAGTGTGCTGTTGCTTGCTTGTGAGCGAAGACTTCACATGGTGTGAAAGCTTGGTGTTTCTGTGGTTAGAGCCATTTTGTTTCATGCAGACTTCCCATCACATGTATAAACCATGGGCCATGCTTGTGTGAATGTGGATAAAGGTTATTACCTTATGAATAGTGAAGGAAGAGATGGTAGGAGCTACTTTTAGCTGCATTTGGATCAAGCCAAAGTCTTTTGTTTGCAACAAAAAGATCCAAAGGAATTCGCCTTCACAGACAGGATAGGTTCATCCTTATGATTGCTGCTAATGTGACTGCTGTGAATAGGTCATCTAGCATTTTTATACCCGGTGTTTGTTCCAAAATCTAAAAATCATATATAAGCATGAAAAAAAGCTTAATCCAAGAGGCAGCAGTAAATAAAAAGGTTTATTTAGAGAGTCTTGGTGTCTAAAAGGGTGATTGGAACTTTGAGTCCCCACTAATGCCTCAAAGAGGCTATTACCCAAAATACAGTGTTTATCCTGTGACTTTGAAACCCTGCAAAAAAAGGTACACTCGTATGAAACAAGGAACCAAAAAGCATCTTAAGTTCTAATCTCCTCTACAGAAAGCAGCTGGCTGCAGTTCGCTGGCTCCTCAGTGAGCGACATGCATCATTAACATCTTTAAATGCTGAGGCGTCCTGCCTTTACAAACCTCAAACAGACCCCCAACCCACACATAAAGCCTCCCACCCGCCACTCACAGTCTTTAAAGTGTTACTAAAGAAGCTTAACGGCCCATTACAAAGTGTCTGCATGGGGCGTCTGAACTCCACTAAAACTGCTAGAAGTAACGGCATTTCACCAGGACCTCTAGTAGAACATACCGGGCTCACTTCAAGGAGACGGTTCAAGGAAGCAGCAGGTGAGTGAAAACATCTTTCTGCTGCACATTTGTTTTCCAATAATTGACTAAAGATGGCAGACAGACAGACAGACAGACAGACAGACAGACAGACAGACAGACAGACAGACAGACCTTTTCACACCATGACCATGTTAGACTTTTGAAGCATCACATGATGTAAACAAAGCAGTGATTGATTTTGCAGCATCAGCATCAGTAAACCTCCACAGAAGCCTTTTATAGAAACAGTAAAATATGTGTTAGAAAATGTTTCACCATATAGCTTACTTGAATATTCATCATATAGCATAGTAAAGCCTATTTTGAATTCTATCCTATCGTAAAGATGAAAAAACAGACAAAAAACAGTTCAAATGGCTTAGAGAACAAATGGCTTTTGTTTTTACAAATGAAAATATAAAATGTAAAGGATTTACTGTTGGTTTAAAAAACCATTTTAAGGCAGCTGTACTTGCACGTGAATTTTTATTTGCAAAAAAAGTATCCGATGTAAATTCTGATTGAAAATTCTCCGATTTTTAAAAATGTTAAGCGAAACATAATTTTTTTCGCCCGACTGATTTTTGATTATCGGCAAAATAAAAAAACAGCTATAATTAAACCTTTTAGTGCAGAAACAGTAATATTCGAATGCTCTGCTCAAGGGTATGAAAAGATCGATTCTTCAACAAAGAAAATTAAATATACCGTCTTTTTCTGAGGAAGCGAAAAGCATAGATCTAAAGTCCAGAATAAGGTGTATAATCTGCTCCCCTTCAAACGTGTATATAAACGATTCAGAGAAAGCATCGGCGATCAAAAAGGTGCAGTGTGTCTTTAATTTCTTGCCTTTGTGGAGGTGGCAGCGATAGCGAGGGCATCTCAGGGCGAACCACAAAGCCAAGGGTTAAAGACGATGCCATGTTGACTCTTTGTGAGCGGCGTTCCACGCCATTTTACTAGCTCTTTCTTTCCAGTCATAGCTAACCAGCTCTAACTTCCTACCAGCTCAGCAAACGCCATTCAAGGATAAGAGAAGCAGAGCGGGAAAAAAAGGAATCAGTGTTTCAGGAACATAAAGGGAAGGTCATTGTCTGCAAGCTTACCCTGGGAGACAAACAGAGGGCCTGAACCTGCCAGAACCTATCCCCGCCGACCAGGAGGTGGACCTGCAAGAGACCAGAACAACAAAGACAGTTTGTGACAAAGCTGAGGCGCCGCAGTCCGAGAGGAGTGAAATCAAGTCTGACATTTTTCATTTATTTGTAAATGCCTCCTTGGCGGCACACTCACTCGAAGCGACAGTTGGGCTTTTACCAAGTTAAGGGGAGATGATGGTAGAATAGAGGGATCCTGACAGAGGTTGTAATGAGATGCCGCATTAGGGCCGCTCTCTCATCTACTCTCTCCTCTCTCGCCCAGGAGCACGCCCTTCACTTCTAATCTGCCACGCCGACCATTTGCAGATGGTTAACCCTGGGAAAAACCTGTGACTAACCCTCTTTGGTGCTCTGATAAAACATTCTTCCTAGGTTTATTTTCTCAGAGACTTTGATGCTACAAATACTCTTTTTGTCAAGCAACATTTCAGAGTGTTTAGAACTTTAGGAAGGTTAGAAAAAGGAATAGTGACATCCATCCGATGCATCTGATGTATGGAGTGCAGGAACGGGAAGCTGTGGGATAAAATACTCAGTATTAAACTACAGGAAGGAGTCAGATGTACATTTTAGTCTACTTTGATATACTTGTACTTAAATAAAGAATACAAGCAAACCGAAATTTTGATTGAAAGAAAAAAGGATATTCAGCAGCATTTCAATGCTATGATATAAAACAAACAATATTAAATAAAAATGAGAAGAACGCGTCTTCAAATTATAAAATTTGTGAAGAAATTTTAAAGAAAAAGAGAAAAAATGGAAATATAAAATCATTAAATTATGAGAAAAAACAAAATATAACAAAATAATAATAACAAAACAAAAAAATAAATAAATGAATCACAAAGACTGAGACAACAGTAGAGTTTCTCTCAAAGACTTAATTAATTAAAATTAAATTTCTGGAATCAAAATAATGTTTTTTTTTTCTTTAAAAAGATGTTCTTTGCTTGCAACAATAAGGGACCAAATTTACTCCAAACCAAATCGCCCCAAAGGCTCCTGGCTAATCAAATATAAGGACGACTTGCCCTGTTTGCAGTCAGCAGCGGTTGGTATTAAAGGAAAAGTCGCTCATATTCAGAATTCAAACTTGTGAAAGTTCTTTAAATCTGAAATGATTCCATCCTGTTCAATAAATTATTTATTTATTTTATAATTTAGAGTAATTTTCATGTGAATGTGCTTTACTGGAGGCATCCATGTTTGTCAAAGAACACTGCTGCCACCTACTGGTTAGTGACATTGTCACGGTGCGGTATCGGCTGTTGATCAAGTCCCAGTGCTGTATCTGGTGTTTGTCACAACGCGCTATTATCCAAGTCATCTTGAAAACATTCTTCTTCCAAATGTTGGCTACATATTACGGGTTTTTTCTCTGGCCAGAAGTTCGATGGCAAATCCTCCCTCTTCAAGTTGGCGATCCAACGACCAACCCGTCCGCGGAGGATCAGGAATCAGAAAGGTGGAATAACTCTTTTTTTCACTTTTACCCGATGTATTCCAGCATCCAGCTGCCATGCACGTGGGCATTGTCACTAAAGTCAATGGTTGACGTGCATCAAGGCGCAGCAAAAGGTGCACAGACCATGTTTTCAGGAGGACTTTCTCACTTCAAAATAGATTCAAACTACTTTTTACCCGCTGATCACAGCTAATATAGCTGCCATTGTTCCAGGCAATGAAAGGATAGATTAGCTCCGCCCACCGAGCATCAGACCCACTTCCCCCCATGAAGCTAGAGCAGCAAAGATGCTTCAGCGGCGCGTCAGAACTAAACTGGTACAAGCATCAGAAATGAAGCAGCTCATGTGTTTTCGCTGCTCCGGCTGCTTGCGGTCTGAACGTAGCATGAGGGATGAATTATAGCAATTAGAAAAAAGCACTGGATTTAATTTTGACCAGAAGCGCTCTCTAAAATATGTGCTAACATCATTCTTGTTCATATATTATTATATAGTGGCATTCTTAGAAAGCCTTCAGACTTTTTCTGCAGAAATATCTATATTCATCTCCTTCAACCAGAGAAAAGGCTTTTTTGATGTGATAAAGTTCTTGTCCAGCTTTCCTCTCCCCACAGACTGTACCAGCTCGTGTTGCATTGAGCTCCCCTACGGTTATCAGTAAGATGGTACAACCCTTCTTTCTATTTTGATGCTATAGCCATTGCTGTGAGGAGTTTTTTTTTTCCCGTTTGCAAACCGCTCAGCTAATCCCAGCACCATTTCACACCAACCTTTTTATGCACATTATTCCGGATCCATAATTCATATTTTTTACTTCTATTTTGTACCTATAAACAAACAAAAAACATACTTAGATTTGTTTCTTCAGAGATTTGTGACGGTTTCAGTTTATTTATTTCTGTTTGGCGTTTGGGCCGACGGATAATAGAATATTTCAAACAGAGCAGTGATCCAACTGAAATAACCCTAAACAAGCTGGTTGTTTTATTCTCCTGAAGTCATGCAAACAGATTTTATAGCAGGAAGGTAAAAGTAATTTGTGGAAAAGCTGTCATCATTATTGAGGGGCTAAAACATTCCCCTTTACACACTGCAATAAATAAAGATGAAGAGGAGGACGTGTCTGTTCCAAACCCTCAATAATAAGCTACAACGACCGAAACCACAAAAAAATGAATCTGTGAGAGCAGAAAGGACTAGGACACATCAGACTCTCAGCTTCCTGTCCTCTGGTCCTTTCCTCTGACTTTACCAGGTTGTTCATTGCTCTGAAACGACTTTATGTTTAAAGCATGAAAGTCGGCTTCCTTTAATCGTCTCTTCTACTGCGACCCTTCTTCTGTTTTCATCTAAAAATAAAAATAAATTTATACCATAATGAACCAAATCTGTGTTTCTCAGACTAAATTTGTTTTCAGATTATTTGAAATGAAATGCCAGTTTAAGAATAAATGCAATTGACTTTAAATCAATTTTGTTTTATCAACAATTCAGTGAATCTATTTCTACTTTCTGTTCTATAATCTAGACTGTTTTTTTTTTCTTTCTCTTTACGACATCCAGGTTCGTTAGTACGGAAGAGGATTAGGGCCAGTGGAGAAAAAAAAAAAAAAGTTAACAGATTTTTACATTTTATTTCAGTTTAGTATAGAAAAAAAAAGTCAGAATTCTGAATTTTTTCCTCAGAATTCTGACTTTTTCCCCATGTTATACTGAAATTAAATTTTAAAATCAGTTAACTTTTTTTTTTTTTTTCCAGTAGCCCTAATCCTCTTCCATACGTTAGACACAAAGCAATCAAACATAGATTCATCCATTTTCAAATTATGAAACTTATTTTAGTGCATTTTGAGCTGAATTAGGAGCTTAAATGTTTTCCAACAATCGTATTCACCAAGATAAAGATAGTATTACGGAAAATGTAGAACAACCTAACAACTAGCAATAGTTAAGCATCTTTAGCTAATAGCTTAAGGTTGCTAAGCTATTACAGTTATTTTTAGGTTGGATTTTATTCAGGGTCATTTAACATTGTTAATGATTTCATGGAGCTAATGAAAGCTCCATTATATTAGCTCAAAACGCAGTGAAATACATTCAACCTGATGAGAAATATAAAAATATTTAGTGGCTGTAAGAAACAAATATTTGTTTAATTAACCTTCAAATGACCGTTAACTGGAGATGGAAAGATGGAAAAATGCAAAGCAAATTTCTGATACAATGAAAAACATTTTCAAAACAGATAAATCTGTTTCAAACCATTGATTTCGATCCTGATTTAATCAGATATACTTCAAAACTAAGCAATTTGAATTCAAATGACTTAAAAAAGATAAAATTTGTTTCTGATCAAAAGTTTCTGTCCATAAAGAGCATTTTTTCTCACTTTCTTCTTCTTTTTGGTAACTTTGAATAATTAATGGATATGAAGAATCAGGTACCAATGTACAATTATGTGTTAAAGAGTTTTAATTAAGGTTGAAAAAAATGTATCAGATTAATCGTGATTTATCAATTATTTCAATTCTATTCAGTGTATTTCTATAGCTCCAATTCACATCATGTCATCTCAGGTCACTTTCCAGTTCAACCAGATCATCCAGTCAGATTGATTCAAAGTTTTCTATCTAAGGAAAACCAGCTGATTGCATCGACTCATTGACTCTTCAGCAATCCCTCACACTAATGCATTGTTGTAGAGACAGTGGAGAGGAAAAACTGCCTTTGAACAGGAAGAAACCTCCAGCAGAACCAGGCTCATCTGCTGAGGCCCACTGGGGTTCATTCTGCCCTTCTT